AGATTGGCTTTGCAAACCGGAGGTTTTGTCTAATTTAAGAATTACTTAATCATAGTTGTAATTTTCTATTGCATATATATATATATAAATCTTTATTATATTGTTAATTTAAAATAAAATTTTGAATAGTTAATATTACATATAAATAATTTGTTTTTTCCTTGCACTCTTGGAAGTGCAATATTTATCTCCATCTTTTAGTTTGCTTCATATATTTGAATACTTCCTAACCAGAGAGTCGTACCGAAAACCGTAAAACGAAATTAACCTGAATCTTTAAGAGAACCGAAAAAAACGTCGTTTCTTTGTTACGTATCGAACGTGAAGTAACTTTCGTTAGATAAAAAGTTGCGCAACCCTTGCCTAGACCTGATTATGCAATAAAATCCTAAAAAGTTCACTAGTTAATCCCGACAACGAAAATCTCGACAGTACCTTTTCATTATTTGATATAGACGTAAAACAAATGAATTCAGAACTGAACGTTATTACTTGTCGTGTTTTTTGACCAGATGGTACGGAGGAATTCACCTGGGCAAGGACAGATTCAAGCACATCAACCATGCAGCCAGATTAGCTTTGCAAACCGGAGGTTTCGTTTAGTTAAAGAGTTAATTATTATATTGTTAATTTAGAATAAAATTTAAAATAATGAATATTATATATAAACATTTAGTTTTGTTTCTTCCCCCTTGCTGCTTCTCTCTTGGATCTTTATCTACATCAGTTAGTTTTCTTCATATATTTGAATTCTTCCTAACACATACGAATAAAGTATATAAATACTATTCATCTTTTAACAGCAGTAATTAATTATATACTGCAATTATTTATTTATTAAAAAGTATCATTTTTTAATATCTGAACGTATTACTTTGAATAGGTTTTCAAATTCCTTTGAACGTCTACAATTTTTCTATTATAAGTAGTTCATTTGTACTGACAGTAGCTCAAATGAATTGATATGTAAACAAGAACGAACCATAAGGTGAATATAAAATGTACATTAATTCAATCATATCTTTTAATGTTAATTACTTGTCAGCAAACATGGACAACATGCTATTACAGGCAGAAGAATTGGAGGCTTTGGAATCAATTTACGGGGAGGAATGGAAAAAAGACACGATCAGTGATAATTCGTACAGCATACGAATTACAGGTGACGTAGAATTGTTTCTTACCCTGGATACCTTGTATCCATCTGAAGCCCCACCAACATATCAACTGATGGCTCCAGGACTCTCAAAAACAGTAAAATTATTAATTTCCAGTGCCTGCGAAGAGATCTACCTGTGAGTACATAACCTTAAAACCAAATGAAACTGAAAGACATAACCATTGTACAGTGAAAATATTGGGTCCCCTGTGCTCTTTCAATGGATAGAAAAGATTAAGGAAATTGTCGAGAGCAATATAGAGAGTAACAAAAGCAATGCCACAGAAACTGCCCCGATTGTGAATGTGAAGAAAGCAGAGGACTACAGTCGATACAATGTCATCCATGGAGAAGTCATTCAAGACAGGAAGAGTACCTTCCAAGGTCACGTTTGCGAGGTTCACAATGAAAATGACGTCAGGTAAATTGTGTTGTGTAATTAACGTTATTGTTTGTTATTGTTGTTTGTATTGCTGCAGGAACGTGATGAATTTCCTTATGCAGAACAAGAAAATATCGCAAGCGACGCACAATATGCTCGCTTATCGAATACAGAAACCTAATGGGGTTTTGCTGCAAGATTGCGATGACGATGGGGAGAATCTCGCAGGAGGACGATTGCTGCATCTGCTCCAAATTGTGAATGTTAAAAATGTTATGGTCGTTGTTTCCCGGTGGTACGGTGGAATTCAATTAGGAGCGGACAGATTTAAGCACATTAACAACGCCGCCAGAACTGTCCTTCAGGATGGTGGTTTTATAAAATAAAGATTTTTTATTTATATTAAACAACGAAAATATTTTGTCCTTTATTCATTTCATTAAGTAATTTATTATATAACGCTTTGAATTTATTGATCTATGAACGTTTGAAGAGAAAACAAAAGTTACAACAATAACAACGCAATTGTTTTCATAGAATTCAACCATTAACAATTGCATAGTAACCAAAGTTTTCAAACTGTCATCATAATCTTCAGTTTGAAGAAATCGCAAGAAACAGTCACCAGATGTTGAAGAAGATTAATATTTGTTAATATTGAAGGTAAATATACTCTTTTTTATATATATCACATTGAAAGACAAAATTATAAATATAATATTTAATTAATTGAAATAATTAACATTTAATTTATTCAGTTTACTTAAATAAGAAATAAATGTCACATTACGTCATTGACACGAATTTGTTGTCATGGAAATAATTAATTTTAACAACATCCATTGATGACTACATCTTTTTAAAGAAACTATACCAGTTACATCTCATAATTGAATTTGGATTCTGATCATTAAGAAAAATATTGGAAATAAAAAATTTGTAGGAAATAAATGCAGATTAGAATATTTTCTAGGAACGCATAATTCCTAATAATAACAACCTTTTGAGTCCCCCCATTACGGGGGAACTTGGGTTAACATCCAAGAAAAAAATGTGAAAGCTGGGGTTGTTACTAACACTGTTTGGAGACACCCGGCATTCGCCCTATTGATCAATTTAGAGATAATTTTCATACAACTTTCTTTTTAAGACTTTCATTTTTACAATGCCAAGCCAAAACGAAACTTTTTGAAATTATTGTAGAAAATCTCAAGCATCATTATTCAAAATTCGTCATTTTTTTTTTC